CAATCTTCTCCTCAGCTCTTCTGCTGAAGAACTTGGCTTCACGTTGAGGAGCCGTCTAGGGAGCCTGCCCAGAGCTTTGCAGTGGCCCGACTGCTCTACATCAGTGACGGACACAGCTCCAGTCTCGATTTTTGCACACTGACCCGTGTCTGCTGGCTGACCAATGCCCACGGTTTATCCCGGTTGGCGTTTGGGCACAAGCTCTGGTCCCTCTTTAAGTGGTAATGCCTCACACCAGCTATCCCAAAGTCGCCTGGGTGGTGTTTGTCGACATTGGTGCTGTGCTGACACACTCCTCTAGCGTTCCCGAGGCCTCCGGATGCTTGTGCTGCTTACCCACTCAGCCGTGGCCTACGTGGCCTCAGGGCCCTCGGTTTTCCTCGGTCTGGATGGCATGGCGGTGGCAGAAAGGAAAGAGTGCATGCAGACTGGAGCATCTGTTGTAATCCAGGAGGGAGTGAGCCAACCCATCCTGGTGAGTGAGGAGGAAAGGTGGCCGGCTGCCAGGTCGGCAGGTGAAGAAGTGAAGGAAAGAGTTTTGGCTCGAGGTGTTCAGGGTTTCTTGCAGGGGCACTAAGCGGTGGGCGGGGGGGGGGCTCTGAGAATAGAGATGAAGGTTTTATTAACGTTACTACGTTTCATTTCTTTCATATGTGCAGACGGGGACAGACGTGGAGGTCACAGAGGGACTATGAGGGCTGATTCTCTCTTACTATGAGGGTTCCATGAGCCCAAAGCCTTCCACTCGCCCGGAGGCTTTTCCACCTGAGCCATTTGGCCAAATTTCTGGCCCTGAAGAAAGAGTTAACAGAAATGGAGCACGGTTAGTGAGGGAGCAGACGCCTGCAGTCCCAGCCCTCAGAAAGCGGAGACGGAGGTCCAAGGAGTTCAAGGTCATCCTTAGCCACACACTAAGTTCTAAGCCAGCTTGGATTGCACAGAATCCTCTCTCAAAATTAGTTAACTTAAAAATGAAACAGAACAAAACCACAACCACCAGGCAGACAGGGCTCTAAGTGCGTGATCTATGGATCCAGGGCTGGGCGAATTGATTTCAAAAGCATTTGGTGGAAGAATGCTACATAAATTATCTTTTGATCAACTAATACTTGCTCATATTTTATATACACGGAACCTGGAAGTGGTTTTATATGTTAAAGCAATCTCAATAATTTTAAATTTTCCATGATTTCTCTTTCCCCACCCTTCATTTGCATTCAGCACCAATTACAACAGAATATTTCTCAGTGGAGCCAGAAGAAAGGATTCTCCAGCGGGGTCTTCCAGTTTATGATGTAGACAGTGCTTTAGAACAAATACTCTTCATAAAACCTGAAGTTTGAGTCGGTAAGCATGCTGGGTTTAAAATACCCGACATCATGAACAATAGCTTGGGGGACAATAAGGTCAGCTTCTGTTTATGCATAACCACATCAGAAGCAAAACAGCAAAAACCAGCCAAGGAACTCTTCTGTGGCAGAAGAGGGAACAGGTGGGAGGAGAGCCAGACAGCTGAGGCCTGGCCGGGGAGGTGGGGAGGAGAGCATCCTGAAGGCCTGAAGCGCCTTCAGGGCTGGATTTCAGGCGGTCTCTTCAGCCGGCAAGGAGCACAGGCAGGAACGAGATCTTCAGCTTCACTCGGAGCCCTGCAATCTGAGAAGACAAAGGTCTCCGTCCCCGTTGCCAGCCTGCAGGTCACATAAGGAGAGGAGGACGTGTGCACACAAACACAAATGCGTCAGTCACTCCGGCGCTCAGTCGTGGCCGCTTGTTTGGTCAGCAACAATCCTGAGACTCATGGTGTCCCCGCTTTTCTCGTCCCGTCCCCCTTCTATCCCTTGTCCCTCCTTCTATCGGTGTTTGGGAGCAGGTGTTACTTCTTGAACCATGGGGTTAGTTTCAGCTGGTGTCTGCACTCCTCTGGAGTGTCTGAGCTGGGAGGGTTAACTCAGGACAAACTAGGCATCAGTTCCATTGGCCCCGGCTCCTTCTTACAGTAGGAAGTATCTGTGTCTTTATAAGGGTGCAGGAAAACACCCTTATCCGTCGCTCCTGTCCCCCCTCCCTTCTACATGCCTCAGGGAACCTATGGAGTCACAGGCTACACCGTGGACCTAGACTGGCTCTGAGACCTTCGGATTGAGATGCTGCAAACCAGATCCAGCCGAGGTCCAGGCCGGTCCGGTCGGCCAGCATGTGCAGCTGGGCCCGCACAGTCCCTACACACACCCCGGAAAGCCCAGAACGCTTTCTGTGTAGCTCAGACAGAGCCCGGAAAGTTGACAAGCCAAAAGTGGCTCTCTGCTCGGAATCTGCGAGAACCACATGACAAGGAGCCGAGCTGGAAAGCAGCTGAGCCAGCAGACGCCTGAGTGTGAAGGTGACAGTGGCAGGAGCCTGGTCGCTCAGTCCACCCACACACGGTCACAGAGGGAAACCCCACAGATGGGAGACTTGCCCCAGAAGGAGGGGGAGGGGAAGATTTGCCTGGCCAAGACCCGGAGAAGGCTTAGCTGAGCACCACACCGCAGAGTGGCAGGTGGTGAGCGCTGAATCCACTTAAAGACAGTGAGAAGTTCTCCTCTGAGGCTGGAGAAAGGGTGGGAAAGGCCAAGTATGCCCTCCACAGGCATGGGGATCTGAGTTAGACTCCTGGCACCCGGGGACACTGGTCACATGTGTTTATAACCCAAGTGCTGGGAGGTGGGGTGGGGCGGGGCACAGGCAGGTGCATCCCTGGGGCTCACCAGCCAGCCAGTCCAACCAAGTCACTGAGAAACCTTGTCTCAAATCACCGGGTGGAGAGAGATAGAAGACACCTGGCCTGACACCTGGCCTCCACACCTGCACCTGCACAGACACTGCACTCAGGCACGCGCACACGGACAGTGTTTTCTTCCCTAAGTGTGCGGTATGAGGTTCATGTCTGACCTAGGCCTTCCGCTAGGTGATTACTGTAACCACACAGTAGATTCTGACCTTTGCACTCCACAGACAGGGGTGAGGGGGAAGGAGGAGAATTAGGGTCTGCTCAGCTCTGAGTGATCCTGAGTTTGGGCAGTGTGACCTGCACCTCTGACGTCCCATCGCTCTGTCTTTGCAAATGTGTGCGGGCCTGCTTCATATCAAATGCCCTTGTGAAGAGGCAGAACTCTCAGATCCAGAGGGTGGGGCTGGGCTGCACATCTGGAATCCCGATGCTCTGGGAAGTGGGGGCTGGAGGGTTAGGAGTACAAGCCTATTCTCGTTACTTAGTGAGTTCAAGACCAGCCTGAGCTGTAACAGTCCTGTCTCAAACGTAATAATAAAAGAACAATTTTAAGTCCCAGGGAAATATTCCTTAAAAGACACAGATAAATAACATAAACTCAAGAGGCTACACTAAAAACAGCATTAAAACCAATAAACAAAACAAGCAAAGTTGTGAGATACAACTAACACACAGCAGCCAGTTACATTTCTTTCTAAAAAAAATGTTTTTTGCACTTATTTATTTATTTATTTATTTATTTATTTATTTATTTATTTATTTATTTATTTTAGCATTTGTATGTGATTGTGTGTGTGTGTGCAGTGTCCTGGAGGCTAGAAGGGGGTGCTGGATCTCCTGGAACTGGAATTACAGGCACTTGTAAGCTGCCCAGTTTAGTACTGGGACCCGAACTGGAGTCCTCTTAAGAGCCAGAAGTACCCTTAAGCTCAGTGCCATCTCCCCAGGTTCCCTCTACCCAATAGCGTCTTTACACAAATAGAAATGATCTGAAATTCATATGAAATCTCAAGAAACCCTCAGCAGTCAAAACAACCTTGGAAAAGAACAGCTTGATGCCTCACATTTTCTAATTTCAAAACTTACTACACGGCTTCAGAAGTCAAAACAATGTAGTGTCGGTGGGGGGTGGGGGAAAGACAGATCAAAGCGATGGGCACTAGGACCTGGGAGGGAGAAGCCCCCTCAGCACCACACAGATTGGGAGCCTCGGAAACCGGTGTGGAGCTGGAGCGGTGTGTGTGTCTGTGTCTGTCTGTGTGTCTGTCTGTGTGTCTGTCTCTGTGTCTGTGTGTCTGTGTCTCTGTGTGTGTGTGTGTGTGTGTGTGTGTGTGTGTCCTGCGCACGCGTGAGCTCTCCCTGCTCAGCTCCGTTCTCTACGCTGTTTTGGGCTGCTCTCACATCCTTTTTCCTGCCCCGTGCACGACATCCCAGGAAAGCCATCTGTGAGCCAGGCAGCTGAGGCATGCGGTAACCGGGCAAGGCCCCATCTGTGGCCTGACACGTGATGGAAGCCTTGGGGCCACATGGAGTGCGAGGGCACGCACACAAATGGTGACAAAGAGAAGAGGCAGGCAAGGAGAGAAAGCGATGGTGGGGGCAGAGACAGAGGCAGAGAGACAGAGATCAGGAGACAGAAATGCTGAAAGAGGGAGGGAAAGTGAAACACAGACAAAGAGAGGGAAACAGACACAATGAGACAAACGCAGAGAGACAAACACAGAGAGACAGGGCAGCGCCGAGCCAGGGAGGGGACCCGGCAGTCTGGAGGACTCCGTGCAGCTGCTCAGCATCAAAGGACCAAATCCGACAGAGCGCAGCCGAGCCTCCAGGAGCAGAGCCGCTGCAGACTGGGCTGACCTCATTACCAGCCTCTGTCTGAGGCGTGGGCTATTTATAGCTGAGCCGGAACCTTCCTGCCAGGGAGACAAATTGCAGCCGCTATGTCACCAGGGAGGCCAAGCGCATCCCAAGGCAGGGGCTGGAAATGCAGCCAAGCTCTGTTTGATTGACAGGCCACTCCCTTTCTCTGCCTGAGATGGTACCCAGGGGATGTAGTCTTTACACAGGGATGAGAGGCCAAAAATCCCCTCTGCCTATCATCCTAGCTAGAAAGAACACACCCAAGCTCCCCAGCCATGGTGCTCCCAGCCATGGTGCTCCCAGCCATGGTGCTCCCGTGTCAGGCTGGGACCACCCCTTTGGGGAGTCATTTTCCACAACCTCATACCTTCACTGAAACACCCACCACCGTGTCCACAGGAAGGGGAACCTGGGGAGCCGCTCGCAGAGGTGGTGCTGGGAGAGGGCGCAGCCGCCAAGGCTTGGGCACGAAGCTTGACGACCCAAACTCGTCCCAGGACCAGCAAGGTGGAAGGAGCAGCGTGTGCAACAGGACATGTAGCATACATAGCTGCGCATGCACAAGGACATACAGTCATTCACATCCGTGCACAGGAGCATCCATGTACACCAATGTACACGCATGTACCCAAATAGCACACAAACACACACATGCATGTATTTTCACACCTGTTCAAGCACAATCTCTCATGCAAGAACATGCAAGCACATACACAAGTGTGCATGCATGTTGACATGTGTAAACATGTTTCTGCATACATGCTAGCACATACATCTTCATACATGTTTACATACACACTCACACTCCTCCGTGCTCACATAATTCACAAATGTGCACACACTTACTCCGGCCCGCTGAGCACCACACACACCAGCAGACTGCCCTGCTGCCTTTCCAAAGAAACCTGGGTTCTTAGAGGTCGTTTCCCCTCTGAGCACCCGCAGCCTGCTGCAGAATGCAGCACCGCGCAGCCGGCATGGCGCTGCTGCCCCTGTCCCCCCCTGCCAACATCTCCTGGCTTTCCAGCCCTCAGGACCCAGGCTACCGAGAGGCCGCCAGCGCCGGGGAAGGAGCAGGCAGCAGACGGGCTGAGCCTGTGCCCGACAAGCACCCAGGCAACGGCACAGGTTCTGGTGAGCGGTGAGGTCCCCCTTCTTTTGTTCTCTGTGTCCTTGGAGGATGGCTCCCAGGAGACGCCCACTGCTGTCCTGACATGCCGTTTTCCCCAGACCTGGGAGTCAGAGCCCGTCAGGAGGCCTCACCAGGACAGAAGTGAAGGAAATCGTGTGTGCCTTTGGCAGCTTTATTTATGGGACCGTTCTCTTCCAGGGTGAGGGAGAGGACCAGGCGGGAGCCACAGCAGAGCAGGGTCCTGAGGAAGCGCTGGGCTGGGTGCATCGTGCACTCAGGAACTGCACACAATGAAAATACAGGGCTGGGGGGGGGGCGGCCTGCCGTGACGGCCCGAGGACCTGGGCGCAATCCCGGCGCTGGTGTAAGAAGCTGCGCTGCACACCGGCAATCCCGGCACTGGGAGGCAGAGGGAAGGCCCCGGGCGCACGGGCCGGCAAGCCTAACGGGATGTGCAAATCCGAGGTCCCTGTCGCCACGAACAAGGTGGACAGCGTGTGAGAGGCGACGTCTGAGTTCCGGCTCTGCCTTCTACATGCACGTGCGTGCACACCCACACACGAGTGACACCCACACACCAGTGACACCCACACACGAGTGACACCCACACACGAGTGCACACCTACACACGTGTGCACACCCACACACGAGTGCACACTCACACACGAGTGCACACCCACACACGAGTGCACACTCACACACGAGTGACACCCACACACGAGTGACACCCACACACGAGTGCACACCCACACACGAGTGCACACCCACACACG